CGAGCTCCGCGCTCGGCTCACCCGCAGCCGTCACGTCCTGCAGCTGCAGCAGCAGCTCCGCTTGCACGGCGGCGTTCCCCGCGGCGTCACAGCGGCGGCAGTCGACGCGGCACAGGGCGACGGGGCCGAGGCTCCCGGGGAAGTTGGGGATGCCGACGGAGCAGTCTCCCGCGAGCACGTCTCCCGCGGACTTGGCGACGCTCGAGTCGTCCGCCGTCTCGTCGCCCGAGAAGTAGATCTGCCAACGACACCGAGCGCGACGTGGGACGGTCGAGCGCGATCGCACGCGATGCCCGCCGTCGAATCGTCGTGAGCTGAGCCGGGCTCGGTGAGCTCGGTTAACTCCCTACACGGGAGAGCTCTTGGGCGATGGCAAAATATGAACGTTGAGTTTGCGTCGAGTTCTTGGTTCTTTCGGTAAAGTCGTCACGTAGAATGGAAATAATAAAAATAAAACATAATAAAATAATTCTCAGGACGTTTCGGCCACAACGCAAGCAGCCATCCTCAGGTGAAGAACAGGTCTGTCGGAAAGACAGCGTCTGTTGCATTCATCTTCTTGGTTCTTTTGGTAAAGTCACGTAGAATGGAAATAATAAAGAACAGGTCTCCACCTGAGGACGGCTGGTTGCGTTGTGGCCGAAACGTCGTGAGAATTGCATTTTATTATGTTTTATTTTTATTACTTTATTACTTCCGTTCTACGTGGTGACTTTACCCAAAGAACCAAGAAGATGAATCCCTGCAGTCACGAAATCAGCTTTAAATCTTAAGACAATCACTAGTCACGACTGACGTGAAATGCGAGCCCCACCAAGGTCATGTCTCCACTGGTGACGTTCTCTGCGTAGCGTCTGGGCATCGTGAACCACTGGACGACGACGTGGTCCAGGTGTGTGGCCAGTGGGGAGAAGGAGCAGGGGAGAGTGACGTTCTCTCCCTCCCTCACAGACAGACTCTTCGGGAGAGTGAGCTGGAGCTTGACAGCCAACGCCGCATCTGCAGAGAGACCGGTCACGCTCGTTACGCATACACCTTGTTGACCATGCAAAACAGATTTAACTACGCATCAAAACGCTATACCACAGAGCTCATGGCATTTCTGACCAACACCACCTGGCCAGTGAATTGAGACATGTACATCGGGCCCTCAGGACGAACGGATACTCTGACCGCACCATCCGCCAAGCTGTTTCTCCCACCATACAGAAACAGCCACTTGAAACTCCGATCAAAACCATCACGTTGCCATACATAGCAGGCGTGACCAAAAAGATCTCCAAAATTCTAAACAAACATAAGATCCAAGTCCGATTCAGTACAGTACATAACATCCGTGATCTAATTCCATCTGTGAAAGATGTCATTCCTGACTTACAATACCCTGGAGTCTACAAACTGAGTTGCAGTGGTGGTGATTGCTAGATTGGAGAAACGAAACGCCATGTCTCTGATCGTGTCCGCGAGCACAAGTCAGATCTGAAACACGGCAGAACTGATTCTTCCGCCGTTGCCGATCATTGCTACAACGCTGTGGGCTCTCATGAAATTGTCTTTTCCGAGACCAAGGTGCTCTGCAAACCTCCTGGCTACCATCAAGGGTTTTTACACGAAGCCATCCAAATATACAAACACAGACATAATTTCAACCGTGATGATGGGTACAAACTGAGAAATCATTGGAAAGATGTTATTGACCATGCGAAAAAGATTTAACTACACATATTTGGACCATCTTATTTGACAGACAACTATTCCTTAGTTACCGTACAGTTCACTGATAGACAGCCACTGGCACGCCCAGGGCGGTGTCACAGGGGTCGCATCGCCGTGAGCTCCTCGTCGTCCTCACGGTGGGAGATTTAAAAACAACTATGACAATTAGCAGGTGAAATGTGACCCTTTTAATCAAAAGTTACCTGGCCACAAATGCGGAAATTTATCGCAGAAAAGTCATCGGAATGCACGTCGACTCGAAATGTGGAGGAAAAAACAGAGGACCCGGAGACAAATCCACGCGGCCACAGGGACAGACTCGCAAACTCCAAATATACAGCAGCAGGCATCAGGGTCGGGATTGAACCCACGACCTCCTGTACACCAGGCGAGGTAGTTAACATCTCCTAGCCCCCGTGATGATGATGAGAGAGACACCGCAAACTCCAAATATACAGCAGCAGGCATCAGGCTCGGAATTGAACCCACGATCTCCTGTACACCAGGCGAGGTAGTTAACATCTCCTAGCCACCGTGATGATGACGATGAGAGAGGGAGACTCGCAAACTCCAAATATACAGCAGCAGCAGGCATCAGGCTCGGAATTGAACCCACGACCTCCTGTACACCAGGCGAGGTAGTTAACATCTCCTAGCCACCGTGATGATGACGATGAGAGAGAGAGACACGCAAACTCCCAATATACAGCAGCAGGCGTCAGGGTCGTGATCGAACCCACGACCTCCTGCATTCAAGGCGAGGCAGATCGCAGTGACCTCTCACCTAGCTAACGAAAGGGCACCGTCCAATGTGTGCTGGGTGAGTGTCTCTGGGTGTGAACTCACCCAGAAGGAGGAAGACGAACAGTGAGATGAGGACCGGCTTCATGGCCGGCTCTGTCTGCTGATGATCGCAAAAGAGAACGAGCCATTAGTCCATCTCACGGCCGCACTCCAACGGTTCACACTCCCTCACTTTCACATCACTCCGCTTCAACATCTTTCCATTCGTGACATCGGCGATGAGTTTCATCTTTTTGCATTCGGTTTTCCCATCTGCTATAATATAAATGCACGCTTAATTTCTACACGCCAGAGGTCGATACCCGGCTACCCGTACCCGGCCGGGATTTCATTTATACCTGATGATGATTGCTTGTGTTGCAATCGAAACGTCGTATGCTTGTATTAAATGTATTATTTTATCTTTACACGTGACTTTACCGAAAGAACCACCAAAGAGTAATTCCTGCAGTCACGAAAGCTCCAAATTAAGTTTGAATGTTTGCGTGTCGTTAAACCGACCATCAGCCGACACAGCCAGTTGGCAAGGTTTATCACGCGAACACACCGTGCCAATCTGTCACTGGAGAAGCACTAACCGGTTGTGTGTTGGAGTGTCTGTGTGTGTGTGTACACACGTACACACACACAGTGTGTGTGTGTACACTGTGTGTGTGTGTGTACACTGTGTGTGTGTCTGTGTGTGTACACTGTGTGTGTGTACACTGTGTGTGTGTGTACACTGTGTGTGTGTACACTGTGTGTGTGTATACACTGTGTGTGTCTGTGTGTGTGTGTACACTGTGTGTACACTGTGTGTCTGTGTACACTGTGTGTGTGTACACTGTGTGTGTGTCTGTGTGTGTGTGTACACTGTGTGTGTGTATACACTGTGTGTCTGTGTGTGTCTGTGTGTGTGTGTACACTGTGTGTGTGTACACTGTGTCTGTGTGTACACTGTGTGTCTCTGTGTGTACACTGTGTGTGTCTGTGTGTGTGTACACTGTGTGTGTGTGTACACTGTGTGTGTACACTGTGTGTGTGTACACTGTGTGTGTCTGTGTGTGTGTATACACTGTGTGTCTGTGTGTGTCTGTGTGTGTGTGTACACTGTGTGTGTGTGTACACTGTGTGTCTGTGTGTACACTGTGTGTCCGTGTGTGTACACTGTGTGTGTGTCTGTGTGTGTACACTGTGTGTGTGTATACACTGTGTGTCTGTGTGTGTGTCTGTGTGTGTGTATACACTGTGTGTGTGTGTACACTGTGTGTGTACACTGTGTGTGTACACTGTGTGTGTCTGTGTCTGTGTGTGTGTACACTGTGTGTGTGTATACACTGTGTGTCTGTGTGTGTCTGTGTGTGTGTGTACACTGTGTGTCTGTGTGTACACTGTGTGTCTGTGTGTGTATACTGTGTGTGTACACTGTGTGTGTCTGTGTGTGTGTACACTGTGTGTGTATACACTGTGTGTCTGTGTGTGTGTGTACACTGTGTGTGTGTACACTGTGTGTGTGTACAATGTGTGTGTGTACAATGTGTGTGTGTGTGTACACTGTGTGTGTGTGTGTACACTGTGTGTGTGTTCAGCACGCCCGGCGGACCCGTTATTCGATCCCGACTCCTGCCGGGGGAGGCGCTCCGGGCGCGGCGGGTCCGCTAGGAAAACTCGGGATGGCCCGAGGCCGACTAGGCCGCAGTCTTCCCTCCCCTCTGTTCTAGATGGTGACGGTGTTGCTGATGTTGTTGTTGATGCTGATGATGTTGTTGATGTTGATGTTGTTGATGATGTTGTTGTTGATGTTGTTGATGTTGTTGTTGATGTTGCTGTTGTTGTTGTTGCTGATGTTGTTGTTGATGCTGATGTTGTTGTTGATGCTGATGATGATGTTGATGCTGATGTTGTTGTTGATGCTGCTGATGATGTTGTTGATGCTGATTGCTGATTATGTTGTTGTTGATGATAATGTTGTTGATGCTGATGATGTTGTTGATGCTGCTTCTGATGATGTTGATGATATTGCTGCTGATGCTAGGGGTGGTGATGATGTTGCTGATGATGGTGTAGATGATGTTATTAATGATGTTGCTGATGCTGATGATGTTGTTGATGCTGCTTCTGATGATGTTGATGATATTGCTGCTGATGCTAGGGGTGGTGATGATGTTGCTGATGATGGTGTAGATGATGTTATTAATGATGTTGCTGATGCTGATGATGTTGTTGATGCTGATGATGTTGTTGTATATGATGGTGTAAATGATGTTTATTGATAATGTTGATGATCGCAAACATCAACATAATTTATTAATTTATTCAGTTAGGGTAGCCTCTCATTGTGGGAGGGGAGGGTCTTGTACCCCAGAAAGCGACGTCATGTCATCTGCTGCCGCGTGACGTCATGTCATCTGCTGCCGCGTGACGTCACGTCATCTGCAGCCGCGTGACGTCATCTGCTGCCGCGTGACGTCACGAGCTAACAGGAAGCTGGAGGTCCGCGCGTGAACTGCAATCCGAGGTGAGAAATTCTCATCGTCGTGGTGGTTGTGGTTGTGGTGGTTGTTGTTGTGGTTGTTGTGGTTGTTGTTGTTTACCAAGCTAGAGCCTCGCTCTCTCTCTCGTAGGGATGTCACTAGAGCAGCAGCAGCTTGTGAATCGATGTCCAAGTTGGAACTTTACAACGCGGGGCCTAGACACGCGGGGCCTTGCCTCCTGCCCTCGCCTGGTCGCGTTTGCTTTAATTCCCTCTCTTAAGTTTAATTTGTCTTCACGCGGCTCGCTACTTTGTCACTTTGGTTTATTGTAGATATTAACGCAGTTTTTTTTTTCGTTTTTTTACCAGCCCAAGCCCGCTTGAGCTGCTGTACCGCTCTTGTTTACAGAAGCTACCTGCCCACGACACAAGGTGGGTTTTGTCAACGCGTGTCTCGGTGTTTTGACTTAAAACTTTAGTAAGTGCAGCAATTCATATTCTTGGTTCTTTCGGTAAAGTCACGGAGATTAAAAAGAATAACAGATAATAATGTTAAATAAAATAAAAAAAATTGCAAATAAAGAATAAACCCACCACGTTTCGATCGCAACACAAGTGGTCTTTTTTTAATTTAATTTCATGATCTGTTATTTTTATTTCCTATCTACGTGACTTTACCGAAAGAACCAAGACTACGTGTGTCAATGTCTGTCTGTCAAAGACGCTGATGTTGAATGTGGAGGGGAAAACCGGGGCGGGGTGTCTGGTGTAAACTCCACACCACCACCGGTTTACCATGGCACTGTGTGTGACAGTGTCAAGTTTGTGTTTGCAGTAAAGTCTATCAACTCTGTGTGACAGTGTTGAGTTTGTGTTTGCAGTGAAGTCTATCAACTCTGTGACAGTATCAAGTTTGTGTTTGCAGTAAAGTCTATCAGTGTGTGACAGTGTAAAGATGGTGTGTGACAATGTAAAGTATATTAACTCTGATGAACACGGAGGTGATATCAAAACAATAGTTTATTTTAGTTTTCCTCTGGAACTCTTTATAAGAGTGGAAACAGGAAGTTAGCACAGCACACACACGTGCAGCAGCTGACGTCAGATCTGTTCATCCCATCATTCAAGGACATCTGAGCCTGGCTTCATACCGCTAAGTTGCCACTGAACAACATTCCTGCTGCGGAGGGAGCTGCTAGGAACGTCGGGTTGCTCGCTCAATGGCCTGCAGGGTCAACGGCGGCGTGGTGTATTCCGCAAATATGCCCGACTGTGAGGGCGGGCACAAGCCGGCGTGAGTAGGTTAAACGTTGAGTTTTATAAGGGCACCACGGGGTGACCAGCCCCTCCCCACCCAGTCCCACCCCTCCCACCCACCACCCAGCCCCACCCAGCCCCTCTCCACCCTCCCCACCCAGCCCCTCCCTTCACGACGGACACAATAATCCCCTGTGGGCTGGTGTAACCAGGAGGTTCCTACCAGTATTAATTTACGCATTTCTGCATAACACAAATAGGATTGTTTTCAACACCCTTTGCTATGTCAGCTGAATTTAGTTCTTATACATTTTTATTTTGTAGCCAGACAGCCGAAATTGTGTGCTCGGAGTTTTGGGTTCACATTCATTTTGAAGATACGAGGGCTTCCAGGCATATTTATGACCATTCACCCTCTCATTGTGTGCAATAACAGCCTGTGTGATGAATTTGGGAAACTGTTTCACTACATCATGAATATATGAATAAGTATAGACGTGTAAGTCACGTGTGACTGTGTATATATGCATTCCGCTGTGTCTCGATACTGACGTGTAGATGGTGTGGATATTCTTTTTCTGTCTGCAGCTGTCGCTTCCTCTGCAGAATTGGTCTGATGGAGCAAAGGCACTCGGCGCAGCTCGGTGCGACAAGGCATCAATGCGACCGGTGTGCATACAGCACGGATCGTCCTGCAAATTTGACACGGCACCAGAGAACTCACACAGGAGAGAAACCCTTCAAGTGCAGTGTGTGTGGGAAGGCGTTTGCACAGTCATCTACTCTTGTAACACACCAGAGAACACACACGGGAAAGAAACCCTTCAAGTGCAGTGTGTGTGGGAAGACGTTTGCAAAGTCATCTACTCTTGTAACACACCAGAGAACACACACGGGAGAGAAACCCTTCAAGTGCAGTGTGTGTGGGAAGGCGTTTGCACAGTCATCTACTCTTGTAGCACACCAGAGAACACACACGGGAAAGAAACCCTTCAAGTGCAGTGTGTGTGGGAAGACGTTTGCAAAGTCATCTACTCTTGTAGCACACCAGAGAACACACACGGGAGAGAAATCCTTCAAGTGCAGTGTGTGTGGGAAGGCGTTTTCACTTTCATCTACTCTTGTAAAACACCAGAGAACACACACGGGAGAGAAACCCTTCAAGTGCAGTGTGTGTGGGAAGGCGTTTACACTTTCATCTACTCTTGTAGCACACCAGAGAACACACACGGGAAAGAAACCCTTCAAGTGCAGTGTGTGTGGGAAGACGTTTGCAAAGTCATCTACTCTTGTAGCACACCAGAGAACACACACGGGAGAGAAACCCTACAAGTGCAGTGTGTGTGGGAAGGCGTTTGCACTTTCATCTACTCTTGTAAAACACCAGAGAACACACACGGGAGAGAAACCCTTCAAGTGCAGTGTGTGTGGGAAGACGTTTGCAAAGTCATCTACTCTTGTAACACACCAGAGAACACACACGGGAGAGAAACCCTTCAAGTGCAGTGTGTGTGGGAAGGCGTTTTCAGATTCATCTACTCTTGTAAAACACAAGAGAACACACACGGGAGAGAAACCCTTCAAGTGCAGTGTGTGTGGGAAGGCGTTTTCAAATTCATCTACTCTTGTAAAACACAAGAGAACTCACACGGGAGTGAACCCCGTCAAGTGCAGTGTGTGTGGGAAGGCGTTTGCACAGTCATCTGCTCTTGTAGAACGCCAGAGAACACACACGGGAGAGAAACCCTTCAAGTGCAGTGTGTGTGGGATAGCGTTTGCACAGTCAGCACATCTTCATGTACACCAGAGAACACACAAGCATCAGAAGATCCACCAGGAGTGGAGTCTGAAATCAGCTTGTGAAAGTCAAAGTTCTGCAATGAGCCCATCCCTCATCAAACAAGAACCGGACGACAATCCCAGCTTGGACACTTTGAAAGGTATCGAGGTGAAATGTGAAGAGGTGAAGGTGAAATGTGAAGAAGTGATGGTGAAGAGCAAAGAAGTGAAGGTAAAATGTGAAGATGAAGATTCAACTCCAAAATGTGACCTTCACATCGATGGAGGCAACGTGAAGCAGGAGGAGAATTCTGACTGTGAGGCAGAGCGAGGCAACTCCCAGCAGTTTGTGGAAGTGGAGGTGTGGGTGGCCTCCGAGACAATACAAAGTCAAATGGAGACCCGGTAGATGTGTAAGCCAGAGACGATGTCGCTCCAATAGATGCACCTTTGTCACAGGCCTTTAATGACAAGAATGTGAAGTTGAACACTCAGTTCCTAGGTTCAACCTGCAGGGTAAGGGTGGCCAGTCTTTGTGGACCTGTGTGTTGGGTTGATCTCTGACCAGCAGAGAGCCAATAAGCTCCCAAGCATTCACGATGTTATAATTGCTTTTACATGGTGCTTAATCCGCTCAGCAACTCTGAGTTTTGTATCGTACCTCGTCTCAAACATTCTAAGAGCACCCCAAGTGGCAGCTGCCCCTGTGTGGCACACGGTGGTGGCCCTGCACCGGCCTGCGTGTGGACAAGAGCCTGTCAGTAGGGGGCGATGGTTGATGTGTAATCTCAGTTGTGGAGTTTGTCGGTAATGTTTAGAATTTGCTACATTTTTGACCCAGTCGCCAACTTGCAAAGGCCTACTCGTTTTGAATTGTACAATTGTGTGTTTCACATCCACTGTTCAGTAGAGGGTGCATTCTTTAAATAGCTCCTTGTTAATAAGATGTTATCTAAACTAAATTATTCAATTTTGGAAGAACGTAATCAACCAGGTAGGGTGTTGACTTGTGTTGGCTGACTCTTGTGTTGTGTTGCATTATATTTCTAAGTTCACTGTTTGTTTTCTAATTCACTTGTTGTACCTGACGATGGTTGCTTGTGTTCCAATCGAAACGTCGTATTCTATAAAATTTCGTTCTACGAGACTTTACTGAAAGAACCAGAGAATAAGATGTTATCTGATGCAGTATATTTCACTGCAGTTATTCAATTTTGTGCATATGCCTGTCAATAATTTAGAATGAATACTTGTCTGATTGTGTGCGTACATGTAACACACTGTATGTACACAATGCACACACAGTGTACACACACAGTGTACACACACTGTACACACAGTGTACACACACACAGTGTACACACACACACAGTGTACACACACAGTGTACACACACGCACAGTGCACACACAGTGTACACACACGCACAGTGTACACACACGCAGTGTACACACACCCACAGTGTACACACACACACTGTGTACACACACAGTATACACACACACACAGTGTACACACACACACAGTGTACACACACAGTCTACACACACAGTGTACACACACACACAGTGTACACACACACACACACACAGTGTACACACACCCAAGGGGTCTCGATTCAAGAGATGGAGCAATGGAAAATGGATCTAAATCAACTTAAACTCCAACCCCGCTCTGTGACGTCACCACTCAGCATTACGTCATCCGCGTGAAACGCCAGGGGAGGTGTACCTCGCTAGTGACGTCATGTCACCAAGGATGTCACCCCCCTCCCCCCCGTCCACCGCGCTCTTGAACGTGACGTCACCTCCGCCTCGGTCACTGCAGATGTCGTTCCAATTGCCAATCCTTATTTGGGCAAAGCCACGCCCAGTGACTGGCGGCTCATTAACATAAAGAGTTCGTTAAAGCCGTCACGAGGTTATTGCAACGGTGTCATTAACATAATTTATTCATATTTAGTTACAGAGCCGCTCGTTGTGGGAGGGGCGTGTCTCGTGCCCAGGAAGTGACGTCATGTCACCTACTACCGCGTGACGTCACGAGGTAACAGGAAGCTGTCGCCCCGCGCGTGCAGTGAAATCCGAGGTGAGAAATTCTCATCGTCGTGGTGGTTGTTGTTGTGGTTGTTGTTGTGGTTGTTGTTGTTTACCAAGGTAGAGCCTCGCTCTCTCTCTCTCGTAGGGATGTCAATAGAGCAGCAGCAGCTTGTGAATCGATGTCCAAGTTGGAACTTTACAACGCGGGGCCTAGACACGCGGGGCCTTGCCTCCTGCCCTCGCCTGGTCGCGTTTGCTTTAATTCCCTCCCTTAAGTTTAATTTGTCTTCACGCGGCTCGCTACTTTGTCACTTTGGTTTACTGTAGATATTAACGCGGTTTTTTTTTTCGTTTTTTTACCAGCCCAAGCCCGCCTGAGCTGCTATAACGCTCTTGTTTACAGAAGCCACCTGCCCACGACACAAGGTGGGTTGGGGTTTTGACTTAAAACTTTAGTAACTGCAGCAATTCATATTCTTGGTTCTTTCGGTGAAGTCACGGAGATTAAAAAAAATAACAGATAATAATGTTAAATAAAATTAAAAAATTGCAAATAAAGAATAAACCCACGACGTTTCGATCGCAACACAAGTGGTCTTTATTTAATTATTTCATGATCTGTTATTTTTATTTGCTATCTACGTGACTTTACCGAACGAACCAAGACTACGTGTGTCAATGTCTGTCTGTCAAAGACGCTGAATGTGGAGGGGAAAACCGGGCAGTGTGTGACAGTGTAAAGTATATTAACTCTGATGAACACGGAGGTTGTATCAAAACAATAGTTTATTTTAGTTTTCCTCTGGAACTCTTTATAAGAGTGGAAACAGGAAGTTAGCAGCACACACACGTGCAGCAGCTGACGTCAGATCTGTTCATCCCATCATTCAAGGACATCTGAGCCTGGATTCATACCTCTAAGTTGCGATTAAACAACATTCCTGCTGCTGCGGAGGGAGCTGCTAGGAACACGTCGGGTTGCTCGCTCAATGGCCTGCAGGGTCAACGGCGGCGTGGTGTATTCCGCAAATATGCCCGACTGTGAGGGCGGGCACAAGCCGGCGTGAGTAGGTGAAACGTTGAGTTTTATAAGGGCACCACGGGGTGACCAGCCCCTCCCCACCCAGCCCCACCCTCCCCACCCACCACCCAGCCCCACCCAGCCCCTCCCCACCCTCTCCACCCTCTCCACCCAGCCCCTCCCTTCACGACGGACACAATAATCCCCTGTGGGCTGGTGTAATCAGGAGGTTCCTACCAGTATTAATTTACGCATTTCTGCATAACACAAATAGGATTGGTTTCAACACCCTTTGCTATGTCAGCCGAATTTAGCTCTTATAATTATTTATTTTGTAGCCAGACAGCCGAAATTGTGTGCTCGGAGTTTTGGGTTCCCATTCATTTTGAAGATACGAGGGCTTCCAGGCATATTTATGACCATTCACCCTCTCATTGTGTGCCATAACAGCCCGTGTGATGAATTTGGGGAAACTTTTTCACTGCATCATGAATATCTATGAATAAGTATAGACGTGTAAGTCACGTGTCACTGTGTATATGCATTCCGCTGTGCCTCAATACTGACGTGTAGATGGTGTCGCTTCCTCTGCAGAATTGGTCTGATGGAGCAAAGGCACTCGGCGCGGCTCGGTGCGACAAGGCAACAATGCGACCGGTGTGCATACAGCACGGATCATACTGCAAATTTGACACGGCACCAGAGAACTCACACGGGAGAGAAACCCTTCAAGTGCAGTGTGTGTGGGAAGGCGTTTGCACAGTCATCAAATCTTGTAGAACACCAGAGAACACACACGGGAGAGAAACCCTTCAAGTGCAGTGTGTGTGGGAAGGCGTTTGCACAGTCATCTACTCTTGTAAAACACCAGAGAACACACACGGGAGAGAAACCCTTCAAGTGCAGTGTGTGTGGGAAGACGTTTGCAGAGTCATCTTCTCTTGTAAAACACCAGAGAACACACACGGGAGAGAAACCCTTCAAGTGCAGTGTGTGTGGGAAGGCGTTTGCAGAGTCATCTTCTCTTGTAAAACACCAGAGAACACACACGCGAGAGAAACCCTTCAAGTGCAGTGTGTGTGGGAAGGCGTTTGCAAAGTCATCTACTCTTGTAATACACCAGAGAACTCACACGGGAGAGAAACCCTTCAAGTGCACTCCGTGCGGGAAGGCGTTTGCACAGTCATCAAATCTTCATGTACACCAGAGAACACACAAGCATCACAAGATCCACCAGGAGTGGAGTCTGAAATCAGCTTGTGAAAGTGAAAGTGTCGCAATGAGCCCATCCCTCGTGAAACAAGAACCAGAAGAAAATCCCAGCTTGGACAATTTTAAAGCTATCGAGGTGAAATATGAAGAGGTGAAGGTGGAATATGAAGAGGTGATGGTGAAGAGTGAAGAAGTGAAGGTAAAATGTGAAGATGATTAAAGTCCAGAATGTGACCTTCACATCGATGGAGGCAACGTGAAGCAGGAGGAGAATTCTGACTGAGGCAGAGCGAGGCAACTCCCAGCAGTTTGTGGAGGTGGAGGTGTGGGTGGACTTCCTAGACAATACAAAGTCAAATGGAGACCCGGTAGATGTGTAAGCCTGAGACGATGTCGCTCCAATAGATGCACCCTTGTCACAGGCCTTTAATGACAAGAATGTGAAGTTGAACACTCAATTCCTAGGTTCAACCTGCAGGGTAAGAGCGGCCAGTCTTTGTGGACCTGTGTGTTGGTAGATCTCTAACCAGGAGCGAGAGCCAATAAGCTCCCAAGCATGCACTATGTTATAATAATTGCTTTTACATAGTGCTAACTTAATCCGCTCAGCAATACGGAGTTTTGTGTCGTATCTCGTCTCAAACAAGAGCACCCCAAGTAGCAGCTGCCCCTGTGTGGCACAAGGTGGAGGCCCTGCACCGGCCTGAATATTGTCAAGAGCCTGTCGGTAGGGGGCGATGATTGATCTGTCATCTCAGCTGTGTCGTTTGTAGGTAATGTTTAGAATTTGCTAAATTTTTGACCCAGACGCCAACATGCAAAGGCCTACTCGTTTTGAATTGCACAATTGTGTGTTTCACATCCACTGTTCAGTAGAGGGTGCATTCTTGAAATAGCTCCTTGTTAATAAGATGTTATCTAAACTAAATTGTTCAATTTTGGAAGAACGTAATCAACCAGGTAGGGTGTTGACTGTTGTGTTGGCTGACTTGTGTTGTGTTGCATTATATTTCTAAGTTCACTATGTTTGTGTTTTCATTCACGTGTTGTACCTGATGATGGTTGCTTGTGTTCCAATCGAAACGTCGTATTCTATAAAATTTCGTTCTACGAGACTTTACTGAAAGAACCAGAGAATAAGATGTTATCTGATGCAGTATATTTCACTGCAGTAATTCAATTTTGTGCATATGCCTGTCAATAATTTAGAATGAATACTTGTCTGATTGTGTGCATACATGTAACACACACTGTACGTACACAATGCACACACACCGTGTACACACAGTGTGTGTACACTGTGCATTGTGTACACACACAGTGTGTACACTGTGCATTGTGTACACACAGTGCACACACACAGTGTACACACACACACAGTGTACACACACAGTGTACACACACAGTGTACACACACACAGTGTACACACACAGTCTACACACACAGTGTACACACACACAGTGTACACACACACAGTGTACACACACAGTGTACACACACACAGTGTACACACAGTACACACACACAGTGTACACACACACACACAGTGTACACACAAACACACTGTACACACACACAGTGTACACACACACAGTGTACACACACACTGTGTACACACACACAATGTTCACACAATGTACACACACACAGTGTACACACACACAGTGTACACACACACAGTGTACACACACAGTGTACACACACAGTGTACACACACACAGTGTACACACACACACAGTGTACACACACACACACAGTGTACACACACCCAAGGGGTCTCTGTTCAAGAGATGGAGCAATGAAAATGGATCTAAATCAACTTAAACTCAACCCCGCTCGGTGACGTCACCACTCAGCATTACGTCATCCGCGTGAAACGCCAGGGAGGTGTACCTCGCTAGTGACGTCATGTCGCCAAGGATGTCACTCCCGTCCCCCGCGCTCTTGAACGTGACGTCACCTCCGCCTCGGTCACTGCAGACGTCGCTCCAGTTGCCAATCCTTATTTGGGCAAAGCCACGCCCAGGGACGGGCGGCTCATTAACAGAAAGAGTTCGTTAAAGACGTCACGAGGTTATTGCGACGGTCTCATTAACATAATTTATTCATATTTAGTTACAGAGCCGCTCGTTGTGGGAGGGGCGTGTCTTGTGCCCAGGAAGTGACGTCATGTCACCTACTACCGCGTGACGTCACGAGGTGACAGGAAGCTGTCGCCTCGCGCGTGCAGTGAGGTGAGAAATTCTCATCGTTGTTGTTGTGGTTGTTGTGGTTGTTGTTGTGGTTGTTGTTGTTTACCCAGCTAGAGCCTCGCGCTCTCTCTCGTAGGGACGTCAATAGAGCAGCAGCAGCTTGTGAATCGATGTCCAAGTTGGAACTTTACAACGCGGGGCCTAGACACGCGGGGCCTTGCCTCCTGCCCTCGCCTGGTTGCGTTTGCTTTAATTCTCTCGCTTATGTTTAATTTGTCTTCACTACTTTGTAACTTTGGTTTATTGTAAATATTAACGCAGTTTTTTTTCTTTTTTTTACCAGGCCAAGCCCGCTTGAGCTGCGATACACCTTGTGTTGTGGGCGACATGCCCACAACACAAGGTGGGTTTTGTCAACGCGTGTGTCAGTGTTTTGACTTAAAACTTTCGTAACTGCAGCAATTAATATTCTTGGTTCTTTCGGCAAAGTCACGTGGATAGAAAATTAAATAAAAATAACGGTTAATAAAATTAATCAAAATAAACAAAATTGTAAATATATAAAAACCACGACGTTTCGATCGCAACACAAGCGGTCTTTATTAATTTAATTCTATTATCTATTACTGTTATTTCCTATCTACGCAACTTTACCGAAAGAACCAAGACTACGTGTGGAAATGTGTATCGGTCAAAGACGCTGCACGCGTGCTGATGTTGACTCTAAATGTGGAGGGGAAACCCGGGAGATTCGGAGGAAAATCCACGCGACCACGGAGAGAGAGACACGCAAACTCCAAATATACAGCAGCAGCAGCAGCAGGCGTCAGGGTCGGGATCGAACCCACGACTTCCTGTATACCAGGCGAGGTAGTTAACATCTCACCATGGAGAGAGAGAGAGAGACACGCAAACTCCAAATATACAGCAGCAGCAGGCGTCAGGGTCGGGATCGAACCCACGACTTCCTGTACACCAGGTGAGGTAGTCAACATCTCACCACGGAGAGAGAGAGAGAGACACGCAAACTCCAAATATACAGCAGCAGCAGCAGGGCCGGGATCGAACCCACGACTTCCTGTACACCAGGTGAGGTAGTTAACATCTCACCACGGAGATACGAGGGCTTCCAGGCACATTTATGACCATTTGCCCTCTCGTCGTGTGCAATAACAGCCCGTGTGATAAACTTGGGAAACGTTTTCACTGCATCATGAATATGTGAATGAGTCTAGATGTGTAAGTCACGTGTGACTGTGTTTTTGCATTCCTCTGTGTCTCGATACTGGGAGTGGATATTCTTTTCTGTCTGCAGCTGTCGCTTGGTCTGATGGAGCAAAGACGCTCAGCGCAGGTCGATACGACAAGTCAACAATGCGACCAGCGTGGATACAGCACAGATCAGACTGTAAATTTGACACAGCACCAGAGAACACAAACAGGAGAGAAACCATTAAAGTGCACTGTGTGTGGGATGGCGTTTGCATGGCCATCAGTCCTTACAAGACACCAGAGAACACACACGGGAGAGAAACCCTTCAAGTGCACTGTGTGTGACGAGGCATTTGCATGGCGATCTTCTCTTAAAAGACACCAGAGAACACATACAGGAGAGAAACCCTTCAAGTGTACTCTGTGCGGGAAGGCGTTTTCTGTTTTCCATCTTCTCGTAATACACCAGAGAACACACACGGGAGAGAAACCCTTCGAGTGCAGTGTATGTGGGAAGGCATTTTCACAGTCATCTGTTCTTAAAAGACACCAGAGAACTCACACAGGAGAGAAACCCTTCAAGTGCAGTGTGTGTGGGAAGGCATTTTCACAGTCATCTGTTCTTAAAAGACACCAGAGAATACACACAGGAGAGAAACCCTTCAAGTGCAGTGTGTGTGGGAAGGCATTTACACAGTCAACTGCTCTTGTAACACACCAGAGAACACACACAGGAGAGAAACCCTACAAGTGCATTCTGTGCGGGAAGACGTTTTCAGATTCTTCCAATCTTAAAGTCCACCAGAGAACACACAAGCATCAGAATATCCACCAGGAGTGGAGTCTGAAATCAGCTTGTGAAAGTCAAAGTGCTGCAATGAGCCCATCCCTCGAGAAACAAGAACTGGAAGAAAATCCCAGCTTGGACACTTTTAAAGGTATCGAGGTGAAATATGAAGAGGTGAAGGTGGAATGTCAAGAAGTGGAAGTAATATTTGAAGACGAAGATTCAAGTGCAGAATCGGACCTTCACATTGACGAGGGCAACGTGAAGCAGGAGGAGAATTCTTACTGTGAGGCGTGGGTGGACTTCCTAGTAGGCCTCGGCAAGTTCAGGTAATTTACCCTTTTTACCAGGTCAAAGGGTAAAGTGTAGGGTAAAGGTAGCTCGGAAGAGTTACCCGGTAGGGTAAAGGTAGCATGAAGTATTACCCGGTAAATACGGTACCTAAAAGCTCCGTGGCGCAGTCTGTGGCCTCCATTTAATAAGTAATATTTTTTTAAACTTTTTTAAAACACGCTTTAATGAAATGTACAGTACTAGTAATGGCAGAACTCCAGGAAGTGGCCCCGAAGCTTGCCATAACGTAAGGGACCGTGGCCAATTACAGCCAACGTCAGTTGATTGTGAATAAATTAGACACAAGCCGAAACATAACAAAAAGAATGTTTAAAAATGTGTTTTAAAATTTGTTATGATTGAATATAGTATTGTCATCAGTATGACATAAGTATACCAAGTTTGCAGTCGATACCACATTGGGAAGTGGGTTATAATTGAGTTACAAGATTTGAGGACATAACAACGATAACAACAGAGTGAGTTGGAATAATTGAGAGTTTTCTATATGAATAAAGTGCTCTACCTTATAGCATTTACCGTTATAAACCGTTTTCATGTGTAGTAGTACCCCAGTAATCACCCTTTAATTGGGTAATTTGTATGTGGTAAAAGGCTCGTTGCTTTTTAACTTTTACCTTACCTTGCCGAAGCCTACTTCCTAGACAATACAAAGTCAAAAGGAGACCGGTAGATGTGTAAGCTTGAGACGATGTCGCTCTAAGCTATGCACCTTTGTCACAGGCCTTGAATGACAAGAATGTGAAGTTGAACACTCGGTTCCTAAGTTCAACCTGCAGAGTAAGGGCGAGTGGCCAGTCTTTGTGGACCTGTGTGTTGGGTAGATCTCTGACCAGGCGCGAGAGCCAACAAGCCCCCAAGCATTCACGATGTTCTCATCATAATTGCATTTATATGGTGCTTGCTTAATCGCCTCGGCAACTCGGAGTTTTGTATCGTATCTCGTCTCAAACACTCGAAGAGCATCCCAAGTGGCAGCTGCCCCTGTGTGGCACAAGGTGGTGGCCCTGCACCGGCCTGCGTGTGGACAAGAGCTTGTCAGTGGGGGGCGATGGTTGATGTGGCATCTGAGTTGTGTAATTTGTCGGTGATGTTTAGAATTTGCTAGTTTGACTCGGACGCCAACATGCAATGGCCTACTCGTTTTGAACGACACACTCGTGTGTTATACATCCACTGTGGAGTGGACGGTGCATATTGTTTAAAATAGCTTCTTAATGAGATGTTATCTGATGCAGTATATTTCACTGCAGTAACTACATTTTGTTAAAATGCCTGTCAATAATTTAGAATGAACACTTTTCTGATGTGTGTACATGCAACATTTGATCTATAAGGGTCAAACATCGAATAAGTGATGTTAGGACAAAGTGTGTGTTTTTGTAAGTAACCTGGACAGATCACTCGGGTGAGACCCGTTGATTTGTGGTACAGGTCAAAGGGTATTTTTGTGTTTCGGGAAGTATCTGTCTCTGGAGCAACTCATTGTCTTTGAAATAGGGAGCACACTCGAATCATCCGTCAGTTACAAGGCGTACCGCTTAAAAGTTACACGTAGAGGAGATACATTCTCTACAACACGAATTATAATTTTGTATTACGTGTTGACAGATTTTGTCAAACTAGGGCGAGAAATAGTCCTTGCTGATTCACGTCTGGAGGTTAGTAGCTATCAGTTGAAGCAAGTCCAGCTGCTGTTGAGACGCTGCGCACCAGTAAGGGTCACCAGGTGGCTTGCACTGAATCAGTGATGCGCTCCCAGAAGGCCGTGATGATTACAGTTTAAATAATTCCTTTGTTTCGTGGAGAGAACGATAAATGAAATATGTAAAGTCTGGATTCTTTCATAGCAAAGGAGGTAATTTTAAGAACACATTTGAAATGAATTTTTTTACAATCTTGTATTCAGTTACAAGACAGAGCACATTTAGTAGATACATTCTACACAACGCTAATTAGGATTTTGTATGACGTCTTATGTTGGTGAACTAGGACAAGAAATGGTCCTTGCTGATTCACGTCTGGATGTTGACAACCGTGGGTTGAAGCAGGCCGGGCTGCTGGTGAGACGCTGAGCACCAATAATGGTCCCCAGGTGGCTTGCACTGAATCAGCGATGCACTCCCAGAAGGCCGTGATGATTATAGTTTGTGTTGTTTAAACTGTGGCATTGTTTCACCTGTGCCATTGTTTCGACTGTGGCATTGTTTCGACTGTGGCATTGTTTCGACTGCGGCATTGTTTCACCTGTGGCATTGTTTCAACTTGGCATTGTTTCACCTGTGGCATTGTTTCAACTGTGCCATTGTTTCAACTATGCCATTGTTTCACCTGTGGCATTGATTCAACTTGGCATTGTTTCAACTGTGCCATTGTTTCAACTGTGGCATTGTTTCAACTTGGCATTGTTTCAACTGTGCCATTGTTTCAACTATGCCATTGTTTCACCTGTGGCATTGATTCAACTTGGCATTGTTTCAACTGTGGCATTGTTTAAACTGTGCCATTGTTTCAACTGTGGCATTGTTTCAACTGTGGCATTGTTTCACCTGTGCCATTGTTTTGACTGTGCCATTGTTTTGACTGGCACCGAGAGAATGAACCAGCGGCCGCTGCGTTGCAAGTTGAGTGTGCAGAACCACTGCACCACACCCCAGAAACCACTGCACCTCAACACCCCAGAAACCACTGCACCACAACCCTGGCCATTGACCGAGCAACCCAACGATGCTACCAGCTCCCTCCGCAGGACAATGTGTTCACACTGCGACTGCACGCAGAGGTGAGGCAATAGCTACAGGTCTAGGCATGTGTGACGTGTAAGTGTTGGCCGACCGTCATTCTCTGTTAGACATTAGGGACGCCTAAGATGTGACGTGCGTTTTTGTCCAGCCTGCTCGTGTTGACATCCAGTGTGACACAGACAATGTACCGTGCTGTAGATTGCAACGAAAGTCACTGACGACAACCTACCAACAGGAAATAAACATTTGCAAAGTCACTTGTTGTTCAGTCTTATGTATGTGGTTGCATCAACAATGATTTAATATGCTCTGTTTTTCTGTGTGCGCATATGTATAGTGCACACGTGTGCGTGACGTCAGGTGTGCCGTTCAGTGCGATGACGTCACGTCTCCTAGGGTACTTAAGGGAGACCCCGTGACGTGAGCGGGGTCACCGTGGTAACAGAGTAAGCAGGGTGAAGAGGGAACCAGGGGTAGAGAGAGGGATAGAGTGGTGAGTCTGGGAGAAGCCGGTGGTAGCCGTAGAGGCGCTTCTCTCTCCGCTCGGTGTAGTCGGCAGAGTCCCCGATCCGACACGAGAGAGAGACCGGAGCCAGCCGGCAGGGACCCGCACTCAGAGTAGGACCCCCCTAGCCCCTGGGAGTTGTGCACCCTGCTGTGTGTGTTAGTGTCACTAACAGCTTCAATAGACCCTGGGAGTTGTATACCCTGCTGTGTGTGTTAGTGTAACAGCTTCAATAAACCCTGGGAGTTGTGTACACTGCTGTTTGTGTTAGTGTCACTAACAGCTTCAATAAACCCTGGGAGTTGTATACACTGCTGTGTGTATGAAATAGCAACAAAAAATCTAACCTGAAAACTATAGACAGGTATTAAGCAGACAGATATCACCAAGATACATAGAGAGAGTAACACAGGTACAGAGAGGGAGATCGTCTCTGTGGCGTGGCCTTAAATAGACAGAGGGGGGGCGGAGGCAGAGGGAGGGAGGGGTTAGAGACAAAATGTACATGTCAATGAGTACGAAGAGACGCATAGTAAAGTAACGCAGGCTTGAACATTAGGAGAGAGGGAGAAAGAACACACTAAAATAACCTAGCAAAATATCGAAATGTTATGTAATACAACACAGAGAGTCGGTTAACACACAACGCATAGCCTGGTCGATTACGTATTTCAAAGATTGCTAAGTTAGAATTTAAGTGTGAAAGTTCCAAAGAAAGACAAAACATAAAAACAAGAGGAACGGAGACACAGACAGAGCAGAACATAAGAACGACAAAAAACGAGTGGAGACAGGAAAAAGTACACTAAATATACAGGCAGAGAGAGAGAACAAGGTAAACTTGGTGGTTCAATCTTAATTTTGGAGCTGTCGTGACTGTATCTTGGTGATGTCTGTCTGCTTGTAAGTCTGTACCCAGCTGAGCGCCGCTGGTGCGAGCTGTGACCAGCTGTGACGAGCTGTGACGAGTTGTGACGAGCTGTGACGAATTGTGACGAGCTGTGACGAGCGGCTGGCCTCGTGACGAGCGCCATGGCCAGTGGGAGGGGCTTCCACGCAGAGTGGTCCAGAGCGTCTGGGGGGGGGGGTAGGGGGGGGTAGGGGGGGTAGGGGGGTCTGCAGGGGGGGTGGTTCTGGCCCCGCAAGAGTTCCCCGAGTGGAGTGTTGTGGCTGCGTGGAGTTTGGATGTTCTCCATCTGCTCTGCGTGGATATCGTCAGATTCATCTCATTTCCTCCCATAAGTGAAACTAAAATGTGACTGGTATGGGCCAGACGTGGGTGGGGCTGTTTGGAGAGGGGAGGGTGGGGAAGGGAGGGTGGGGTGGGGCTGGGTGAGGAGAGGAGGGTAGAGGGTGGGGCTGGGTGGGGAGGGGAGAGTGGAGAAGGGCTGGGTGAGGAGGGGAGGGTGGGGAGGGGCTGGCTTGGAGAGGGAAGGGCTGGGTGGGGGTGGGGCTGGGTGGGGTGGGGCTGGTCACCCTGCGGTGCCCTTATAAAACTCAACGCTGGTGCCCGCCCTCACAGTCGCCCTTATTTTCAGAATTCACCACGACACTGGTCCTGGTGCCAACGAGGTTGTGGGGGGCCGCTGGCGTGGGGGGCGGGGGGGGGCATGGCTCCCGTGTCCAGAAGCAGCTCGTGACGACGACGACGACGACAACGACGACGCGTCCTCGTCGTCACCCTCGCTCACCCACGCGGCGCTACAGCTTGAGGGACGACGACGCGTCTTCGTCGTCACCTTCACTCACCCACGCGGCGCTACAGCTTGAGAGACGACGACGCGTCCTCGTCGTCACCCTCACCCACGCGGCGCTGCAGCTTGAGGGACGAGGCCGTCGTGCGCTCCTCTCAGAGGACGCTTCTTGTTCGCATGCTGACCACGGGCATTGTGCGCTTAGCGCAGAGAAGATTCCTCGCGTGAAAAGGTTTCAGTTCGGCGTCCTGGCATCTTAACGCGGCTGTTTTGTTGCCAGAAAAAAAAGAGGAAACCTGTTCTCATCGTGCGATCAAATCGGACTTTTATTCGCACAGAAACACCTCGACAACTCATCACCACGTGGCACGACACCCCCCCCCCCCGGCTCCGTCGGGCCCTCCCCCCCGGCTCCATCGGCTCACACAGCCGCTGCTGGGAGCACACGTGTTGCACACTCGAGATGAAGGAACGTGGGCAGGTGCTCCAAATCGAGGGCAAGCACATTTATTTATTGTGGTTCATATGAATCTTGGGAAGAACAGCAGCGTCACTCTTTGGGTCCTTGACCTGTAAAATGCAACAGCGCGTGTTACACGCAGCAATCCTTCCGAAACGCCATTAACCATGTGGCTGGTCTACACGTCCGGTTATTCATTAACCCTTTCTCTTAAACCTAATTCTATTACTGATAAATCATCCTTATCTTTGACAATCACATTTGCACATCACTATTCGAATATTACTTTAATCCTAAGCTGTAAGTCAATCTATACCATCCACTTCTATCGGTATCTTACACCCATTATATGTACTGTATGCGTACAGTATACGTACTGTATATCACCATTGTACAGCTTACTACTTTACATGTGTTCGATGCTCAATAGCATTGCAAGTAGTCATACTCTGGGTACATGGGCATGGTTATAGACTAGTAGTCATACTCTGGGTACATGGGCATGGTTATAGACTAGTAGTCATACTCTGGGTACATGGGCATGGTTATAGACTAGTAGTCATACTCTGGGTACATGGGCATGGTTATAGACTAGTAGTCATACTCTGGGTACATGGGCATGGTTATAGACTAGTAGTCATACTCTGGGTACATGGGCATGGTTATAGACTAGTAGTCATACTCTGGGTACATGGGCATGGTTATAGACTAGTAGTTATACTCTGGGGACATGGGCATGGTTATAGAGTAGTAGTCATACTCTGGGGACATGGGCATGGTTATAGACTAGTAGTCATACTTTGGGTGCATGGGCATGGTTATAGACTAAGCAGTATTACAGTTAGAGAATTACAATGACAGTAACTAATTACAGTGCGTCATCCCTTTACAATGCACAGTGCTAAAACGCCTCTAATTGCATATATCACAAACGAACAATTCAAAGCCAAGCTTAAAGTCTAAAACAAGTCTAGAACAAATCTAGAACATTTATATAACGATCAAAAACAACCTTTGGGTCCTTGACCTGTAAAATGCAACAGCGCGTGTTACACGCAGCAATCCTTCCGAGACGCCATTAACCACGTGGCTGGTCTACACGTGCGGTTATTCATTAACTCTGCCAGCCATCTACAGGCCCGACTCAGACATTATATGCTGCTGTACACACATGCATTGATGCATTGCACAGCACATCAGGACTTTCACAGAACCACACTTTACTCCCTTGCTGTACAAGGACACACTTAAAAGAGTGATCCATTCCTGATGTGCCACATGTGGAATGGATGTGATTGTTATAATTGTACTTTCCATTTTGCTTCGTTCTACTACATATTTGAGGGGGGGGGGTCTGACTTTTGAAGACGCCGTGTGACGAGGGGGGTCAAAAATCGGCCAAAATCGTGTGACGTCATTTATGGACGGCCCTTAAGAGATGGCCACATCGGCCGTTTGATGTCCCGATGCAGATCAAGAGGCCATCTCTTGATGGGCAAATTGTGATTTGGTTGGTTTGGGTTGGTCAGAATGTGTATAATGTCTTTTCATATTTTGAACTTGCACGAGCGAAATTGTCTCCAATAACGAGTTCTCACTACATTTATGCATAGTTTGATCTTAGACACACTGCACACATTATTTCAGGTTTTCATGACGTGCACTTGGAGGTATTCTAATGAATCTACAGCCCTGATCTGTCATCAAATGAGTTACGATTGGGCCACTCATGGATTAGTTGGAAGCATTGTCCCATTACTAAACAATTACACAAATTACAGTTTATAAAACTATGTTACCTACAAAAGGGGTATAGGTGTAAAGTCACGTAGTTAGAAAAAAATTTAAATAATACAAATCACGACGTTTTGATTGCAACACAATCAATCATCATCAGCCGGTGGGAGGAAAACAATTCTCGCTGTGGGTTTCCCACCTGATGATGATGATTGACTGTGTTGCAATCGAACGTCGTGATTTATTTTATTTTAATTTATTTCTAAATATGTGACTTTACCGAAAGAACCAAAGAGTATGGATTCCTGCAGTCACGAAAGCTTCAAATCAAGATTTGGTAGGAGGTGTCTTCTTCCGATAAATCATTATGCCTACCACCATCAGAACAACGAACGGTCACGATCCCAGCAGAAATTAAAAGGATTTGTTCTGCAGGTGACAACTTATAGGGGACACAAACATTCAGTAGCATATACATTGACATTTTAAATAAAATATGAAGCCATTCGTACATCACCATGTGCATTGATCTTACGTTCACATGTCTTGTGTTTCAACAGCAAAACATGAAATGGATTCCACTTTGAGTCTCATCAGCACAGCAGACTGTGGCCCATTAAGCTCCTGGGATTTACAAATGTAATTGGCATGAGCTCTCAATGAACATCGTGGAAACCGTTCAGTACCGCACTATATTAGCCTTTATGTGTTGATGTATAGGTTAGATAAAGTAAATACTGTATACATCACTACACAAACAAAGTCTTCTGGACCAATACCGTGTATATATGTTAATGTGTACATGCTTCTAGTGGACAGCAGGGGGCAGTGCAGTTTCATTTATTTGGTATTAGTCCCGAGCCATTCGGCTCTTGAATCGGGACGTAAGGGCATGCAAAGGTGAGCAATTTCTTGCCATTTCATCTCACTGGACTTCTAACGAGTGCAGTGTCTCTCTACACCCTGCACACGTGCGAGCTGTAGAGAAGCCCTCGTCTTATTGAGTGCAGCATTCTTGATCTAAATGATAACCATTTTTTCTTCCAACCATGACCCCATGTGTTCCATCACACACAAATGAACAATGTTATATATATGTACTAGCTCTACTACCCGGCAGCCTTGGTCTCCCCAGTGGCGATGTTCACACAGCACACCAGTTACTCGTTTGAGGCTGAGTCGACCTAGGGGAGGCCCAGGACTGGTTCAATATTGCCGTCACTGGTGGTGGCCGTGAGCGGGAATCTAACTCGGGTCGCCGGGTTAAAGCTCTATGGGGGATCTTTGGAGCGGTGGTGTAGCGGGTAGCGCTACGCTGCGCTACGGACCCGGCGTCCCGAGTTCGATTCCCACTCACGGCCACCACCAGTGACGATTATATTGAACCGGTCCTGGGCCTCCCCTAGGTCGACTCAGCCTCAAACGAGTAACTGTTGTGCTGTGCGAACATCGCCACTGGGGAGACAAAGGCGGCCGGGCGTGGTGCTGGCCACCCACCCCCTCCTGTGCTGTGCCGGCCTTCACAGGTGTTCGCTAACAGCACTTGCCCCCTACAGTCTCACAGGCTACACGGGGGATCTTTGTCTGTATCCTGTGTGTGTGTGGGGGGGGGGGGGCAGCGACTGCCGTAGCGATTCTCGTGGAAATCGAACTCGGGTCGCCGGGTCTATAATGTTACGAATCTACACACTCACAGGTATACTACTGTATTAAAATCTTTCTTTTGACCACAGAATTTTGCCCACGAATTTATTGGAGCCTTCGCCGATTGGTAAACATTTACTCTTTGGCTCTTTCGGTAAAGTCAACACTTGATAGACATTTGTTAGACGAGCAGCACGCACTGACTCACGCCCATTGCTCGCGAGGCGTTTCGTTAATCATCTCGTGAGTCGTGGAAGTGTCTCCTCTGGATCACGGAGCGAGGGCGCCCCTCCCTCCTCCCCCTCCTCACCCTGTGGAATGTCGCGATCGCTTTAAACGAGAGAGAAGTCCGCCAAGCAGCAGCATCATCATCAGCAGCAGCATCATCAGCATCAGCAGCATCATCAGCAGCAGCATCATCAGCAGCATCATCAGCAGCATCATCAAGAGCATCATCATCAGCAGCAGCATCAGCAGCATCATCAAGAGCATCAGCAGCATCGTCAGCAGCATCAGCAGCATCATCATCAGCAGCATCATCAGCAGCATCATCATCATCAGCAACAGCAGCAGCATCATCAACAGCTGAGCACCGACGAAAACGACGAGGAGGAGGTGGAGGAGGTGGAGGAGGAGGTGGAGGAAGAGGAGGAGGAAGAGGTGGAGGAAAAGGAGGAGGAGAGAGCTTCACGATTCTTCTCCTTCGACGGCGCTCTCGGGTGAGGAGAATGACTTTGGCGGCTCACATTGGCATGTGTGCCTATGTACGTCTCTCTGTCTCTCTTTGTATCTCTGTGATATCTGTCTCTGCTTACATGTCTGTCTGTGTGTCTATGTTGTGTCTCTCTCTGTGTGTGTCTCTGTGTGTCTCTCTCTACGTATCTCTGTGATGTCTGTCTCTACTTATGTGTCTGTCTGTGTGTCTATGTTGTGCGTCTCTCACTGTGTGTCTCTGTGTGTCTCTGTGTTGTCTCTCTCTATGTATCTCTGTGATATCTGTCTCTGCTTATATGTCTGTCTATATGTCTCTGGTTCTGTATTTTCATCTCTCTCTCAAATGTAGCATTCTCAGGAAGAACGTAATCAACCAGGTAGGGTGTTGACTGTTATGTTATCCGACTCTCTGTTGTATTACATTACATTTCTAAGTATAATAGATTTGTGTTTCTATTCCATTTATACCTGATGACGATTTCTTGTGTTGTAATCGAAACGTCGTATGCTAGTATTAAATTTATTATTTATCTTTATACGTGACTTTACCGAAAGAACCAAAGAGTAATACTGTATATTAGTGTGTTACACTGTATATTAGTGTGTGTGTGTGTTACACTGTATATTAGTGTGTGTGTGTTATACTGTATATCAGTGTGTGTGTGTGTTATATCCCCAGCCTCTGACCCCCCCGCCTCCCAGCAGCTATCGTATCACCAGCGAAACACCGCACATCCCCCCGGTCCCTGCCACCTTTGTTCAACCTCTGGCTCATCAAGGCCAGCTGTAGTGCAGAGCTAACTCTGAAGCCTCCCCGTGTGGCTGGGAGCTGTGCCAGGGATTCATGGATAATCCATGATGCCGGCTCGCCTCTTGTCTGCTGAACACTGCCCACAGCTCGCTCCACCTGACGCGGGGTTCATTTGGAGGCTGTGTCGAGAAATGTTAACTCCATCGCCTGGTACGCAGGATGTCCTGTATTCGATCCCGACCCTGACACCTGCTGTATATTTGGAGTTTGCGTGTCTCTCCATCTCGCCCCGTGGTCACGTGCATTTTTCTCCGGGTCCTCCGGTTTTTCTCCTCCACATTTAGAAGTATTTGGCTGCTGTGCATTTCCACGCAATAAGCCACTTTGTTGAGCTTTCATTTGTGGCCAAGTCGCTTCTGAAAAAGAGCTATATAGCTATGTGGGCCTTACCTGGTAAAACCAAATAAGTATAACCCGTAAAAACAAAGTTTTTCACTATAAATACTTTATATGCGTGGCAGCGAACTTAATATAAATGATTTAAAAATATATTCGCCTGTGGAGGACGCGGGGATCGATCCCGCGACCTTTGGCATGGGAAGCGAGGGCGCTACCAACTGCGCTACTCCACCACGGCCTGTGGAGGGGTTACGCTCTGGGCTCTTATACTGTGACGTTCAGCCAAAGCCATGAATGAGTTCTATTTGAATATATGTAAAATATTTTTTTTTTTGCCTAAAAAGTGTAAATTTTGGGAATTTTTTTTCACGAACAATAATTGTCTGGCACAACGAGTCTGTGTGGAAAATGTCAGCTCGATTGGATCACGGGAAGTGGGTTAAAAAACGACCGCAAAATTTGCACGGTCCTAAGCAAGCAAGCAAGCACGCGAACTTAATATAAAGGATTTAAAAATAGTTTTTGGTTCATAATCTGGGGTCTAACACCAACCCCTGCAAATCCTCACGGCCCAAATGTGTTCACGTGACATTATGCAAGAATACAACATTGTAATTACAGAGATAAAAATGGAATTAGTGGATTCATTGCACATGATTGGAATGTATAACAGAAGGAACCATGACACGCTCACACCCAAATTGTAAATTGTTTTAAAATGACGTTGCCGGTTGGGTAAAACACAAGCGACTGTTGGTTTAAGTCCACCTGATCGTGATACTAAACCCAAGCAAAGGATTTGTTGAACCCATGTCATTGATTATTAAATCCTTTGGAATCTTTGTGTTAAACAACCGGTGGTCTAAACCCCATTCGATTGGTGTGTGCGACACCGATGCGATCTACTTGTTAAACCCACCTGATCAGCATACTAAACCCATATGTGCGGTGGTCTTGTACGTGCTGTATGTATGTTGAACTTCTTTCGCACCCTACGTCGTCAACCGTGCTAATCGGAGGTGCGGGGGAAGTACAACGAACCAGGGGTGAGGAACCCTTTTCATTACTAAGGACCCGACACTGGCTTTCTACATATATAAAAGGGAATTTGTGAATGTGTGTCTGTTCAAAATGTTTAGCATACTTCCCAACATGCAACAAACTTGACATTTGGCACGTGGGTAGCTTCCAGACTGTACACAATACAAAAAGTATAACAAGTAAACCCGTAAAAACAAAGTTTTTCACTCTAAATCCTTTATATGCGTGGCGGCTAGAGTTCTCTCGTCCTCTGGCTTGAGATGGCTGCAATCTATGGGTCAGATGATTGTCTGCCAGTATTAAGCAATTGGTAATTACATATTTAATTTGTTTTCCCTAAACAGTGTAAAATTTTGGAAAAAAAATTTCACGAAAATTAATTGTCACACACAACGAGTCTGTGTGGAAAATGTCAGCTCGATTGGATCACGGGAAGTGGGTTAAAACACGAGCGAAAGATTTGCACGGTCCTAAGCAAGCAAGCGAACTTAATATAAAGGATTTAAAAATATATTCGCCTGTGGAGGACGCGGGGATCGATCCCGCGACCTTTGGCATGGGAAGCGAGGGCGCTACCAACTGCGCTACTCCGCCACGGCCTGTGGAGGGGTTACGCTCTGGGCTCTTACACTCTGACGTTCAGCCAAAGCCACGAATGCGTTCTATTTGAATATATGTAAAATATTTTTTTTGCCTAAAAAGTGTAAAAAATTTTTGGCGAATTTTTTTTCACGAACAATAATTGTCTGACACAACGAGTCTGTGTGGAAAATGTCAGCTCGATTGGATCACGGGAAGTGGGTTAAAAAACGACCGAAAATTTAGCACGGTCCTAAGCAAGCAAGCAAGCACGCAAGCAAGCGAACTTAATATAAAGGATTTAAAAATAGACTTTTGTATTTTGGGGGGCGCAATAATGGATATATTTTGCACGGCAAGTGAGCGGTGACGTCACATCTGTCATGTCACCCGCATGTGGCAGCGTCATGCAGTGTGCCTTCCGACGTCACGCATCCCCCCCCCCCAACTCTCCGCTTAGGCCGTGTATTAATCCAAGACAAGAATCCAAGTCTCGGGCGAAGCCGGGTAGTAAAGCTAGTACTACATATACCTTTGGAGGGCCACACATTAACCGAATCAAGCCCATCTTCTTAATTCTTTCGGTAAAGTCACGTAGAATGGAAGTAATAAAATAATAAAATATAATAAAATAATTCTCACGACGTTTCGGCCACAACGCAAGCAGCCGTCCTCACGTGAAGAACAGGTCTGTCGAAACAGAATTACGTTTATTATTTTATTATTTCCATTCTACGTGACTTTACCGAAAGAACCAAGAAGATGAATCCCTGCAGTCACGAAAGCTTTAAATCGAAATCGAATCAAGCCCGTTTAGCGAAGAAACTCTCCTCCAAGGACGACTCGACTGGCATGGCAGACCAACGCACGGCACCCCGATCGTCTATGCAACCAAAATGTGCCCTTTGCAGTGGAAACCTTCCCCTGCAGCAGCCGCTGATGGATAAGTATCGTTTTGCGGGCCGTCCCAAGAGTGGCAGGCCACACATGTCCACAGGGCCGTCCGTGCGGGATGAAGCTGCGGGAGCCCCTCGCCTGCTCGGGCCTGGGGGCCCCTCGCGGGTTCACCGCGGCTCCCTTGCACAAGCTCGCGTGCGGCCGGCATGCCGAGCCGCGTGCCAACGTCGAAGCTGAACCCCCCCCGCGTGCGTCCGCTGTCGCCCGCTTAGGGAGGAGGGCGGCGACGCTGCGGGCGGCGCGACGATGGAGAAGGCGGTGGGCAAGGTGGCGCACGAGATGCAGCGCAACTCCGTCTCCGACGACGACGTCCCATGCCGCGCCCTTGAGGAGTACACGTGGGTCCCACCAGGACTCGAGCCCGAGCAGGTAGCGTCCTGCCTTCCGCGGCCGCCCTTCATCGTCGCGTTCTCGCTACTGCCCAGCCCTTTGTATGTATATACATGCATAGAAATAACGCTGTGCTTGAGCGCAAACCCTTGAGCGGACTGACTTGTGCGGATATACACGGGCACCAGAATCCACCACCTGGAATCTGCTCCCACGCCATCTTGTTCGTTTGCCTGCATTTAACAACAAAATAGATGTAAACTAAACAACCCTTCCCCGTTTCCGACGATGACCGTCGCAGGTCCACCGCTATTTCCGCTGCCTGCCCGAGGACCGCGTGCCGTACGTCAACAGCCCCGGAGAGAAGTACCGCTTCGAGCAGCTGCTGCGCCAGCTGCCGCCGCCCGACGACCAGGTAACGGTCCCCCGGGAGTCGGGGGGGGGGCACGACACGCACGGCGTTCCCTCCCACGCTCGCGTGGAATGACAATCCTGCAGTCTTAGCCAAATCATTTTTCTTCAGCGAAAGTACATTTCTGAGCTGCTGCTGATGATGACGATGAAGCCAGATGCCTCGCACGAAGGGCGTGTCGCTTCATGCGGGTGGGAGATCTGCAATCCGGCCGATTGCCAGGCTGCATGATGCCACGTGCCTGCGTTGGTGGTGTGTGTGCGTGGGTGGTGTGTGTGCGTGCGTACGTGGGTGGTGTGTGTGCGTGGGTGGTGTGTGTGCGTGCGTACGTGTATGGTGTGTGTGCGTGGGTGGTGTGTGTGCGTGGGTGGTGTGTGTGCGTGCGTACGTGTATGGTGTGTGTGCGTGGGTGGTGTGTGTGCGTGCGTACATGTATGGTGTGTGTGCGTGGGTGGTGTGTGTGCGTGCGTACGTGTATGGTGTGTGTGGGTGGTGTGTGTGCGTGCGTACGTGTATGGTGTGTGGGCGTGGGTGGTATGTGTGCGTGCGTATGTTTGCGTGCGTGTGGGTGTAGGTGGTGTGTATATGATGAGCGGTCGTGTATCGGTTAGCACGCTGCGCGATGAACCTGGCGACCCGGGTTCGATTCCGCCAACACCAGTGACATTTATCTGAACCCGTCGTGGGCCTCTCCTAGGTCGACTCGGCCTCAAATGAGTACCTGGTGCGGTGTGTAAACATCGCCACTGAGGAGACAAAGGTGACCCGGGCTTGATGCTTGGCCACACCGCCTCCCCGTAATAGGTGCAGGCGAACGCCACTTTGCCCCAGCATCCTGTGTAGGCCTCACAGGGATGCTTGTGGTGGATGCCTCTTGCTCATATCGCCTGCAAGTGTAATTGAGTTTTCTAAGTGCCACCTGAGGATTTCCCCCCCATAACGGGGGACGTGCGTTATTTTATTGGTTTGTCATGCGGAGATGTTAGGGCAGGCGTGTATTTAAGTGGCATCAACGTCAGTCAGGGTTGTAGAGTGACAGAAAATGGCGGTTCATAGGTGGATCCTCGAATCCATCTTTGCGTGAATTTTGATGGCCGCGCTTGGAATGGTGTTCAACTTCTGTCGCATCGTACACAGCTAGTTGTCGTGAGGTTGTCATTGGTAGTTCGTTGTCGGTGGTGGCGGTGTCGTAGTTATCGGTGGCGTTCATGCCTTTGGTGTTTTTGACGGTGTCACTGATGGACGTGATGCTGGTGGCGTCGATGGTGCCCATTGATGGCCTTGTTGTCGATGGGCGACATCCGTCGGCGACGGCGGTGCTGACGATCGTAGCGGAGCATTCCTTTTCGGTGTCGTTGACGTTAAACGGCGGTGGCGATGTCGGCGCAGGTGGGGTACTGCAGCTCTCTGGGCGAGGAGGAGAAGCAGGAGCTGAAGCAGTTCAGCGCTCGGCGCAGGCGCGAGGCGCTCGGCCTGGGAGCCGTCAAGACCTTCCCCGTCACGACCCTGGAGGGCGCGACGTGCGAGCAGGTAACGTGTCCAGGCCGCGCACTGCTGGGGCCTGCATTGGCCTGCTGATGTGCTGACGTGGTTAACGGGCACATCAATGTGTGTTGAGAAAGAGGAATATGAAAGTCGTCAGGAGGTTGTGATGTTTGGGTCTCGACCGAGGTGTTCGTTTTGCGAGTCGGGCGCCATTCCATTGGAATCCAGATATGATGGGTCGTACAAAAGTTGGGGGTGCATCTTTCAATCCGGTAGGTGTCTGCGTGTGACCTAATCTGTATAACTTTATTGACGCCGGGCCCACAAGTTTGGGGGCACGTATTACATTCTGGGGTGTCTTATACTCCCAACATGTTGATGATGATGATGATACTCCTTCGCTCGCTGGCACTGGGCTTGTTTTGCTGGGTCCTCCAGGACAACGAGTGCTTTTGACCACCGGTCCCCCCCCCCCCCGACTCGGCAGCAACGTACGCGCTGCCACGCTCTACGCCGCTGCGCCGCGATGGGGGGGGGGGGGTGGGCGGCAGCGGCGGTGGCGGAGAAGAGAGATCTACGTCCTCGGTGGACTTGCCCCCCGGCCCCTCCTCTCACGCTACTCCCCTGCACTCTTTACCTCTCCCCCTCTCGGCCCGCGCTACTCCCCTCCGCGCACGCTCTCCGCTTCGCCAGTCAAGGCCCTCTGTCGATCCCCGCCACGACTGACCGCCTGTCCCCCCCTCCTCCCCACCCCCCACCCCCACGGGCACAACCCGGAAAACGCAGCGGGCAACCGCGCCAACGCTCACGGCGCCCGTGCAGCGACCGGTCGTCGCGGGGAGGAGAGGGCGAGCGAGCAAGCGAGAGCGCTTCTCTAGACTCACGAGCAAATCCTCCGCGTTCCCCTCCTCCGCTCCCCGCGCCCATTCTCTCCGCAGTGCGGCGGCGGCATCGGCGGAGGCGAGGTGGCGGTGTTCGCGTCGCGTGCGGGGCACCCCCCGTGCTGGCACCACCCCGCCTGCTTCGTGTGCGCCGCGTGCCGGGAGCTCCTCGTAGACCTCATCTACTTCTTGGCGGACGGGAAGCTCTACTGCGGGCGGCACCACGACGAGCGCTTCAAGCCGCGCTGCGGCGCGTGTGACGAGGTGAGGCGGAGCAGCGGTGGCGATTGCGGTCGTGACGATGGCCCCACCGCCCCCCACACACCGCCCCCCCCACACACACCACACACACCGCCCCCCCCACACACACCGCCCCCACACACCCCCCACACACACCGCCCCCCACACACCGCCCCCCCCCACACCGCCCCCCACACACCGGCCCCACACACCGCCCCCACACACACCGCCCCCACACACCCCCCACACACACCGCCCCCACACCACCCCCCACACACACTGCCCCCACACACCCCCCACACACACCGCCCCCACACACCCCCCACACACACCGCCCCCCACACACCGCCCCCCCCACACCGCCCCCCACACACCGCCCCCACACACCCCCCCACACACACCGCCCCCCACACACCCCCCCCACACACACCGCCCCCCACACACACCGCCCCCCACACACGCCCCCACACCGCCCCCTCACCCCCCACCCCCCCTACCCCCCACACCGCCCCCACACCGCCCCCCACCCCCCCACCGCCCCCACCCCCCCCACCCCCACCCCCCACCCCCCCCACCCCCCACACCGCCCCCACCGCTACCTGCCGGCACCACTTGGGTCCCCGAGTAGACCAGCGAGCCCTTTCAGGCGTCACGAGCCCGGCCTCTAGCGTGTAATCTGCGCTCCCAGTGGCGTCGCCGCAGGGCATAAAGCTCAGGGCATCAAACGTGCGCACAATTCGCTTGGACACCCTCGCATGCGAAATGTTCCGTCTCTAGAAATTATGAAATATATATATATTTCATTGTCAGCTCCATGTTCAAATCCTGATATCCGCAACACAAGACGATGAATACAACAATCCAAGCCATCTTGTCTGATGTCTACCCCATCAGCATTTCTCTCACCCCACTGAATCCCATAAAGTTTGTCTCCGTTGATTTCCTTTCTTTTCTCACAATATCTTCATGCCGTTGTGTCTATTATATCCCTCCTGTCCATTTCGGTAGCATTCTATAATTCGAACGGTGAGGGGGGCTGCCTCACCTGATTGAGTTACTGTCTAGATTTACACCAAATAACACTGAACCCTTTAACACGTAGCAGGCTTTCGCGACCAATATTATTCATAATCAACATTGTTGGGTTTAGATCGCGTTATTTATAAATGTGTCGTAACCCTCCACCACCCGACACGGCCAATCAGTAAAAAAGTGTCACGTTGACAAAAGACAAAATAGTTCACTGCTTTAGCCCACCGGTGTGTTGAAGCGTGAAACCACAACATTTACAATTTTTGAGTAGCACTTCTTCTTCTTGGTTCTTTCAGTAAAGTCACGTAGAAGGGAAGTAATAAAATAATAAAAATAAAACATAATAAAATAATTCTCACGACGTTTCGGCCACAACGCAAGCAGCCGTCTTCAGGTGAAAACCAGGTCCGTCGAGGCGACAGAGTCTGAATGAAACAGCACACGAGCTTGGAGCATATATATAAGCTGGGTTCGGAGGGGGGGAAAGGGCGCTTCGACAAAATAATTTGCATATCAAGAGGAATTTAGCATATTTATGGAAAATGCAGGAATGTTATTAGTACTGCATATGCCCATGCATTATGCAGGATTAGCAGCATCAAAGGGAGGGGATATGGGAAATGCAGGTACGTGATTAGTACTACTCATGCCCGTGCATTATGCAGGATTAGCAGCATCAAAGGGAGGGGATATGGAAAATGCAGGAATGTGATTAGTACTACTTATGCCCGTGCATTATGCAGGATTAGCAGCACTGTGACGTTTCGCTGGTAATTGCCTCCAGCATCATCGGGCAATTCGCCAGAATGTTCCGTCTCAAGAAATTATGAACCGTACGGACCTTCGGGGCGGGGCGGGGGGGTGCCTCAGCCTTACTCCGACAGCGTCTCGAGCGTTAACACCCACGTCCGCCCCCCTCTCCACCCCGACCCCTCCGAACTTCAGATCATCTTTGCGGACGAGTGCACGGAGGCGGAGGGCCGCCACTGGCACACGCGCCACTTCAGCTGCGCCCAGTGCCACGTGGCGCTGGGCGGACGGAGCTACGTCATGGAGCACGGGCGCCCCTTCTGCTGCCCGTGCCTGCGGGCGTGGCACGCGGCGGCGGCGTGCCGGAGCCGCCACCGGCACATCGGTGAGGGGGCCGCAGATGCCGGCGGAGGAGCCGCGCTGCCGCGTGTACGGTCATTCCGGCTTGAAATTCGGTCACTCAGTCAGTCAGTCAGTCACTCAGGCAGTCACTCAGTCAGTCGGTAAGTCACTCAGTCAGTCAGTCAGTCACTCAGTCAGTCAATCGTTAAGTCAGTCAGTCAGTCAGTCACTCAGTCAGTCAGTCGGTAAGTCAGTCAGTCAGTCACTCAGTCACTCAGTCAGTCAGTCACTCAGTCGGTAAGCGGCATCGCCGTGGGCACGTTCGGCTCGCCAGCCGTGCCGCTTGCCCCCCCCCCACCCCCCCCCTTGTCTCTGCGGCGCTCGCTTCGTTGTTTTTGTGACGGTGCCGTGCTTGCCCTTGATGGTGGCAGTCTGTCCGATGTCGAGGAGGTCCTGATGGTGCTGCTGGTCACGAGGAGAGGGCTTCAGCAGAGAGAGAGTTTGCGTCGTGTTGGCGTTCCTCCTCCTCCTTCCGCAGAGCCACAGTGAGGCTTGCTCATACGTTCCGTAGTTTAAATTTCGATTTAAAGCTTTCGTGACTGCAGGGATTCATCTTCTTGGTTCTTTCGGTAAAGTCACGTAGAAGGGAAGTAATAAAATAATAAAAATAAAACATAATAAAATAATTCTCACGACGTTTCGGCCACAACGCAAGCTGCCGTCCTCAGGTGAAACCAGGTCTGTCGAGGCGACAGCGTCTGAATGAAACAGCACACGAGCTTGGAGCATATATATAAGCCGTCATGAAGGACGGGCGCTCCATAGTTTGTGTTGCGTGGCCACCGTCGATTGTGGCCATGGACATCGGTTGACTAAATATGTAGAATCGCCGTCTAATGTAAAGCTATTTGTAGCTACTGCAGTGACTCGGAGTCACGGGAGAGGTTGTTCCACTGTCCTGTCCACTCACTACTCGAGTGCTTTTGAAGTTTCAAATGTCTGCTGGGGGCGGGGGGCGGGGGGGTGGGCTTTGGTAGAGGGTGCATTACGGACGTGTTGAATCTCACGTTGTAAATGCAGTGTCAATGCACTGGCTCTGTACTGTCTGGCTGTCTATAACTGGGGGGGGGGGGGGGGGGGGGGGGGTTGCAGGTGGCGGCGAACACGACAACTCTTGCTAAGACAACGCGATACGATTTAAACTTTAGTGTCTATTTGCATCGCCCGCATCCTCCCCCCCTTCTGCTCTCTCCGCGCGCCGCCTACGGACCGCGCTGGCACGAGCCCGGCCGTCAAATTCGCGCGGCTGCCGGCGCCGACGGCAAACGCGCCGAGCGTGAACCGAATGCGCGGCGCACGCAACGACTTCTTCCCCCTCTCCTCTCCTTTCGACCGCCATTCTTTCTCGCCAGGCCTGCAGCAGGAGGAGGAGCGGCGCGTGACGCACGCCGGCCGGGTCTGGCACACGAGGAGCGACCGCTGCCTGGGAGGAGACGGCGGCGGCGAAGCGACCGACCCGGCCTTCCGGAGCTCGCGGGACCCTCGCCGCGGCATCCGCACGACCCCCGCCGGAGCCGGCACCGGCGCTCGAAAGCCGCTTGCCATTGAAGCGCCAAAGTCGCCCGGCTACAGCCCGGAGGCGGCGTCGGCGCAGAGCCCCCTCGGCGAGCCGGGGAGCGTGCCGGGATTCCGCGGCTATGCCGAGTCGTCATCGCGAGGCGCCGCCGGCGCGGCTGCTGCCATGATGTCGGCGTACGAGCCGGACCAGACTCCGAAGAAGCCCCGGGCTTTCCCGACGCGGCGCTCGGTGACGTTTGGCTGCGGGAGGAGCTCCCCCGAGGCGGCGATGGGAGGCGCCGGCGGCAACCCGCCGGTCGACTGCGACCACACTCCGTACGGCCTTCCCAAGAGCCGGCAGCGGACGCAAGATGGCCCCCGGGGTGGCGGCGGCAGCGGCGTCCGGCAGGCCGCCCACGAGGCAGCGGACGAGATGAGTTTCCCGCCGTCTCCTTCGCCGGGGTCGTGCGTCCATGAGGGATGTCGCGAGGGGGCTGCGGCGGCGGCGGCCTTCAGCGGCAGGGAGCCGCGGCAACATTCGCGGCTCAGTGCGGCCGTGCGGGGGCTGATAGACGTGGGATGGGCGTCACCGCATGACTCCGACAGCACCGGTGAGCGATGTTCACTGGGGGTTTTGTTTTCTTTCTCTTTCCCCTTCCTCCACTGGCCAAGCTCTTCCTGTCGGCTGTAAGTAACAGCCGTCACGTGAGAGCATCGTCACGCTCGGGCAGAGATGGGCTAAGTACAAAGTCGGCACGGATGTCAGATGAGCACTGGGCAATGTGTGCGACGGTCAACAGAGCCGCCCGAGAGAAACCGCGTCACGCGTTTGACGAGCGCGCACGTGACAACGCACGTGCGCCTTAGTCGTCGCCGACGCGGTTGGGCTAGGGGCGAAAGGGAATATCTAGGGTGTGTTCGTTCGCTTCCTTTTTAAGTTGGCGACGGCCGCTCTCGCGGTCGCGAGGTGTGCGCGGGAAGGTGGGCCTGGGTGGGCGGGTCGATTCTCGGTGGGCGTGCGTTTGTGCGACGCACCGCCGCGTGCCAAGGAACGGGAGTGGTTTTGATGGAGAAGAACGCTTCGCGAGAGACGCTCGGGACAGCGAAACGATGAATATCCATGTCACACTCTACATCACGATTCAGATTCACGTCGCCCCCATGACCAGCACGGCAGGGAGGGGGGGGGGGGGGCTTCATCCAGCAGTGGATTTACAAAAGGGCTCTAGACATTTAGCCTCTTAACAACTCTTGGCATTTTACATCCACTAATCGATCCAATACCGATCTCCACGCCGTGCCGGTCACACTTCACCGCGTTGGTCAGCGCAGCTTGGTTGCAGGTAGGGAGAGGTTCCCTGGGACCGATTCAGACATATCTCTGATCGGTCGGCTGATCGGTCGATTCCAAATGGGTTGTCGGCAGCAGATCTAGTCTTGTTGACCACGGCAGAACGCTGTCGTCTTTTTTGGCTCTCGCCGATTTTTCTGGCGCTTTAAGAGACGCCGCCGCCGCTGTCGTCAAGGCGTCACGTCAGCGGGATCAGGCGTCGTACCGTGCCGATTCGTCTCATTCACTCAGTCACTCAGTCAGTCAGTCACTCAGTCAGTCAGTCGGTAAGTCAGTCAGTCGGTCAGTCAGTCACTCAGTCAGTCAGTCGGTAAGTCAGTTGGTAAGTCAGTCACTCAGTCAGTCACTCAGTCAGTCAGTCACTCAGTCAGTCAGTCGGTAAGTCAGTCACTCAGTCGGTAAGTCAGTCACTCAGTCAGTCAATCACTCAGTCAGTCAGTCACTCAGTCAGTCAGTCAGTCGGTAAGTCAGTCAGTCAGTCAGTCGATAAGTCAGTCAGTCACTCAGTCAGTCACTCAGTCAGTCAGTCACTCAGTCACTCGGTCAGTCAGTCAGTCACTCAGTCAGTCACTCAGTCAGTCACTCAGTCACTCAGTCAGTCAGTCACTCAGTCAGTCAGTCGGTAAGTCAGTCAGTCAGTCGATAAGTCAGTCACTCAGTCGGTAAGTCAGTCACTCAGTCAGTCACTCAGTCAGTCACTCACTCAGTCAGTCAGTCGGTAAGTCAGTCAGTCGATAAGTCAGTCACTCAGTCACTAAGTCAGTCAGTCACTCAGTCAGTCACTCAGTCAGTCAGTCACTCAGTCAATCGGTCAGTCAGTCACTCAGTCAGTCACTCAGTCAGTCACTCAGTCACTCAGTCAGTCAGTCAGTAAGTCAGTCACTCAGTCGGTAAGTCAGTCACTCAGTCACTCGGTCAGTCAGTCGGTAAGTCAGTCACTCAGTTGGTAAGTCAGTCACTCAGTCGGTAAGTCAGTCACTCAGTCAGTCGGTAATTCAGTCAGTCGGTAAGTCAGTCACTCAGTCAGTCAGTCACTCAGTCAGTCAGTCGGTAAGTCAATCACTCAGTCACTCAGTCAGTCGGTAAGTCACTCAGTCAGTCAGTCAGTCGGTAAGTCAGTCAGTCACTCAGTCACTCAGTCAGTCAGTCACTCAGTCAGTCAGTCGGTAAGTCACTCAGTCAGTCAGTCATTCGGTCAACAGCCAGTCGTTCTGTCAGGACAGCTGATGTGTTTGGTGATTTAAGCGCATAGCAACATCGTACGTGGCGTGTCACTACGTGGCCCAATCTGGCCAACTTGCGTTGTTGTTTATGCTTGTAGGTATGTGCTGTTTATGGTTTGTGTAGTTTTCCTGCCTGGCATCGTTAGTGTTTACGTGTTGTTTACATCACCTTCTTGCCTCCCTTTCATCAACCTGCACTGACAGGCTGCGGCGATGTGTGCTCAAACACGCGCCCCTGTCTGAAGAGAAGGGGCTGACGATTTCAAATTCATATCGTCCAAAAAAATCACAGCGGTGTACGCAGCCGATGCAAGAATACTGACAGTTTTGCAGCTCTCCTTTTATTAACACGTGTACATTTTTTATTTAATTAAACCCTTTCCCTTTACATTTTTTCTAACGTCACCAGGCCTCTCGGTGGACACTGACGGCAAATCGCCCGACCAGCCGTCCAAGTCCGTCGGCGGCGGGTGCGGCCTCGGCTCGGCGGAGAATCTCAGCGCGGCGGGCCCCCTCGCCTCCGCCTCTCGCTGCCGCAGCGCCGAGTCGCGCTCCGGCCTCCGCTGGAGCCGGCGCCCCTCCGAGCACGAGCGGGGCCGCCCCTCCCAGCCGGCTCCCCTCCATGGCTGCGACCGTGCGCTCCGCTCCCAGTCGCAGCCGCGCTTCCTCGCGCAGTTGGAACCGAGCGAGCGACCCCGCCACCGCAGCCGGCGGCGGCGGCGTCACCGCCGCTCACGCGAGCCGCGGAGCTCGCGCTCGGAGAACGCGCTGCACGAGCCCGCGGCCGTGGAACGGAGCCGGCGCCGCTTCGAGGACGAGCCGGGGGCGCGCGCGCACGAGGACTGCGAGCGGCTGACGCGGCGCAAGTCCGAGATGGACGTGGGGGCGCGGGGCGGCCACCCGCAGGCGCCGCCGCGCTCCGTCTACGCGCCGGACGACTTGGCGCTCGACCCGGACGACGGGCGGGACGACAGCTCGGACGACTGGTGCTCCACCTGCTCCTCGTCTTCCTCGTCGGACTCGGACGACGACGGGTTCTTCCTGGGGCAGCCGATCCCGCGCACCGTGCTCGTGCTGTCGCTGCGGTGCTGCGAGGGCGGCGGCGGTGATGCCGCGGCGATGGCGGCGGGGACGGTGGCGGGGACGGTGGGGTACGGCGGGCGGTCACCACACTCCATCACGATGCCAGCGATGTCGAGGAAGCAGCAGAGCCGGCGCAGGAATAAGAACTGCATCATCTCGTAGCCGCCGGGTCGGTGACCACCTTCGGAAACGCCGGGTCCGGCGAAAGATAGAGATGCGGAGAGGGCAGGTTTGGAAATAATGAGAAGTATCGCCAATTAGTTTAACGGTAAACGAATGTTTACGTTTGTAAAGTCCACGCATTTTCAGATATCGTTGTGCTAAGAGGACGTGTTTCCGAGCTTTGAAGCTTCGCGCATCTCAAGGGCGGAAGGGGGAACGAGACTGCTTTGATGGTGACGTTCATGCAACGGATGTGACGATGGCGTTTCGCCGAGCCGCCTTTCAAGTTGCACCTATCGTCAGCGTGCGTAGATTTGTTTGATCTTATCTATCATCGCGTCGTCATTTTGAGACTGATCCTCCTGTGATTTGGCCGACTTTGCACACGAAAGGGCACAAGGCTCTCGGCTTCACATTCTACATCTAAACAACAAGGGCAAATGTAAAAAAACGAAATGTCAGTAACGCTAAAGCTGATTGTAGAAAAATACGAACGGTAAATGTAACAGCTTGAATGTTTGAAGTGCACCTATATGTGTATTTTATTTTCTTCCTTCGACTTTCTCGACTCGCGTATTACAACATGTAAAACTTGTTTTTGTTTGTCGATTTAAAGCTTTCGTGACTGCAGGGATTCATCTTCTTGGTTCTTTCGGTAATAGACGCTCCAAGCCTGGTGGTGTTTCATTCAGACGCTGTCTTCCCGACAGCCCTGTTCTTCACCTGAGGACGGCTGCTTGCGTTGTGGCCAAAACGTCGTGAGAATTGTATTTTATTGTGTTTCATTTTTATTATCACTACCACTATCACTACCCCTATCACTACCCCTACCACTACCCATATCACTACCCCTATCACTATCACTACCCCTATCACTACCCCTATCACTACCACTATCACTACCCCGACCACTCCCCATATCACCACCTCAAACCCTTAACCACTCCCATCTGTGTTACTGTCACCATAGCAACACCACCACTTTTAATAACTTCACTCTTTATCACAACTACTAAGTTACGTACAAATTCATAATTATCATGAAGTGCCTTGAACGGCAGCGAGAACTTGGACAGCCGGTCGGGCAGCGAACCAAATGAAAAAAAAACATGAAAACGCCGAGAGTGAAAGCGGCTTCGCTCATAAACGAGTGATGCTCATCTCCCGTTTAACAGCCCAGAGGACGCGGAGGAAATTCTACATTCCTATGGCGGGGGCAAGGAATTCCAGAGGGCAATCACTTTCCCAGAAAGTGGTCCACACGTTATCTACACCAGAGGGCTCAGTCAACCCTCAGTTTGAATTGACATCCTCTGATGCAAGTAGCACACTCTACCACTATGCCATCCTGCAAGATAGGTATAGAACAGGGGTGGGTAACCCGTATAGCAATAACAGACAAAATCGGTCCAGGAAAAAAAGTCTATTTTTCAAGAGCCGCAATGCGCTGCGTGGTGAACAGGAGACGGTGGTGCTTAGTAGATGACGCGTCGCAAAGCAGCAGTCCTTATGAAGAGCCGCAGGTTGTAGACCTCGATCTGTTATTGCTACTGCAATGAGCCAAGCATGTCTGTGTGTAACGCGCGTGACGTCACTCCACATGCCGAGGCAGCGGGTGGATTTTTACACTCGCACAGAAGGTCGAGGCGGACATTTATTTTTTCACAAATTCGCTTTAAGTTGGACGTTTCTTTATTGAAAGTGATTCTAATAAATAATTATATTTGGCAACAAAGTGGATTTGGTGTCTTTATTTATTTCTTCAGCACTTGAGACAAAAGGTAAGTCTAATTTATGCTTCTACATTATGCTAAAATAGACATTTCTCGGTGATTTTCCAGATATTCTATTGATTTCCAATTTATTTCAACCCCAGCGACCGAAAGCAGAAGATAATAAAGTATCAGAGCAGTGAATTTGAATGTCAGTTCTATACAGCGCTATCGTGACATGAAGTGAGGTGTTTTATGACTTCGTTTTGTGCAAGATTCACGGCCATTAATACAGTGCTACAGTGACATGAAGTGAGGTGTTTTATGACTTCGTTTTGTGCAAGATTCACGGCCATTAATACAGTGCTACAGTGACATGAAGTGAGGTGTTTAATGACTTCGTTTTGTGCAAGATTCACTGCCATTAATACAGTGCTACAGTGAACTGCAGTGAAGTGTTTTATGACTTCGTTTTGTGCAAGATTCACTGCTATTAAATTTACACAAGATACAATTATACTCTGCTAAAATGTTTCGTAAATATTACAGCTTCCGTCCTAGGACGGGCAAACAAGCTCGTTTCATCATATTCTTGGTAAAGTCACGTAGAAGGGAAATAATGTAAATAAAACAATACAATTCTCACGACATTTCGATTGCAACACAAACAATCATCATCAGGTGTGAAAACCACAGCTGTCGTGAGAATGTAATTGTTGAATTTTTATTATTTAATTATTATTATAAGAATATAAACAATAAAATTAGGGTGAGAATTTTATTGTTTAATATTTTTATTATTTTATTATTATAATAAAAATATAAACAATAAAATTACTGTGAGAATTTTATTGTTTCATATTTTTATTATTTCCCTTCTACGTGATTTTACCGACAGAACCAATAATATGAATCCCTGCAGTCACGAAATCTTTAAATCGAAAAAGCATTTCATCAGTATTGTTTTTTTAAATATATGTTGAGTAGCGTGATGACGTCATGCAGTAGGGGGATGACGTCATGTCACGGGGATTGTAAGGGGGTACTTAAGAGGGACCCCCCGTGACGTGTGGATCGGCTGGAAGAGGTCTCGAAGAGATGGCCGAGAGTGGAGCTCGAAGCAGGCTGTGAGAGGCGGCTGATAGTGAGTGGGAGTCTTCTCTCCTCGGCCAGACCGTGTTGGATGAGCCGCCATCCCGGTCAGAGTGAGAGAATTTCGATTTAAAGCTTCTTTCGTGACTGCAGGGATTCATCTTCTTGGTTCTTTCGGTAAAGTCATCACATAGAATGGAAATAATAAAATAATGAAAATAAAACATAATAAAATCATTTTTACGACGTTTCGGCCACAACGCAAGCAGCCGTCCTCAGGTGGAGAACAGGTCTGTCGGAAAGACAGCGTCTGAATGAACACCACCAGGCTTGGCAGCGTATATTTAAGCTGGGTTGGAGGGGGAAGAGCAAATTCCTTTGTCAAGGCGCTCTTCCCCCTCCAACCCAGCTTAAATATACGCTGCCAAGCCTGGTGGTGTTCATTCAGACACTGTCTTTCCGACAGACCTGTTCTTCACCTGAGGACGGCTGCTTGCGTTGTGGCCGAAACGTCGCGAGAATTATTTTATTTTCTTGGTTCTTTCGGTAAAGTCACGTAGAAGGGAAGTAATAAAATAATAAAAAAAAATAAAAAAAATAAAACATAATAAAATTATTTTTTATTATTTTATTACTTCCCTTCTACGTGACTTTACCGAAAGAACCAAGAAGATGAATCCCTGCAGTCACGAAAGCTTTAAATCAAAAATTAATTATTTTATTGTTTTATTTTTATTATTTTATTATTTCAATTCTACGTGATGACTTTACCGAAAGAACCAAGAAGAAGAGTGAGAGAAGCCACAGAGATAGCCGAGGTTCGGACGAGTAGAGCTCGGGGGGGTCCATGGGAAGGAGCAAGTGTAGAGTACACCTACCTCTGGTGTGAGTTTAGAGTGTGAGTATTAACAGTGTTTCATAAACGGCGTAAGCCCTTACATGAAGTCCCGTCTCCGAGTGGTTTTTCATCACAACGACTGGTGTCAGAAGTAACCACAAACCCTCGTCGCCATGTCAAAGTCGGCCACGAGGCGTAGGAACTCACCTGTCGAGAGCTCGGACGACGCCCCGTGGAGCCCAGCCATCTCATGCAGGAGGAGGGGGCTGCACCTTGAGGCCACCACGTGAAGTGTCGAAACATACATTTGTAACGCTCGCACACACTCACAGGCACACACACATGCGATCACACACACATACAGGCACACACACATGCGCTCACACACACAGGCACACACACTCACAGGCACACACACATGCGCTCACACACACGCGCTCACACACACTCACAGGAACACACACACTCACAGGCACACACGCATGCGCTCACACACACAGGCTCACACACTCACAGCCTCACACACACTCACACACACGTGCGCTCACAGACACGCGCTCACACAACAACAACCGCCATTCGCCACTAAGTGACGGTGACGTCACCACGACGCTTGTGCCAGGCCATGTGCACCTTGAGGCCACGTGAAGTGTCGAAACATACATTTGTAACGCTCACACACACTCACAGGCACACACACACATGCGCTCACACACACGCGCTCACACACAACAACAACAACCGCCATTTTCCACTAAGTGGCAGTGACGTCACTGTAGGCGCAGCTTTCTTGTCCCAGAAAACAAGCTGCACCTCAACTTGCCAGTTTGGACAGCTGCTGCAGTCGGCCACACGTCTCGTCACGACGATGTCCGAGGTGGGAGCCCAGCCGCGTGCGCACACACCACTTGTTTGGAGCGGGATCGGGCGGTTCCCGCCATCTCTCCTCCCGCCACGCTTGAACTTGGCGCCATTTTCCAACAGACGCGCCGCAGCTTCCAGCCGCCATCTTGCCCCCGGGCGCCATTTTGACCGCGACACAGCACCCGGGCGCCATTTTGTTGCAGCGATGCCACCGAGCGCGTCTTCGGGAGCGCCCATGCCAGTTTTCACCTCCGGCTCGTCCAAACTTCGTCGGATGCGGCTTGTGCGTCCATCGCAGCTGGCGGTGACTGGACGTCGTTTCAAGACCGTTTTGATGCGGCTTCCAATGAATACCTGGTGCGGTGTGTAAACATCGCCACTGGGAAGACAAAGGCGGCTAAGGAGGCGTGGTGCTGGCCTTTATAGGTGCTACTCACAAACAGCACTTGCCCCATACAATTTACTAGGGTTGGGGAGCACCCAGGTGGTGAATCT